GGCTGCCCAGCGCGGGGGACTCTTTCGGTGGGGGTGCTCCCCAGACCCCGCGGTGCATTGGGCCGAGTGTGCCACCGAGGTGGGGAGGTCAGCACGGGCGCGCGCCTGACGATGGGTCCTCCATCTCACACCGACAAGAGGGCTGCCTCTTGCTCTCAAAGAGGGATGGTTGTTTGTTTTCTTTTTGCCGTCAGTGGGTTTCCAACGGGCCTCGCCAGTTGAGGGAGGCCCATGCACCCCAGTCCCGCGGAAGGTCTTCCTTCCTTCGCGTGAGTGCGTGTGTCTCCCTTTGTGTGCTGACATCCCCCACCATCGGTGCCCACATCCCTAAAGTGATCTCCCCAAGTCCAAGGGCCATCCAACTGGCACAACCTGTTGACCCCTCTCCAGCCAAGCCCTCCCCATCCCCCTCCCCCCCCCCTTTTACGCGCTCCCCATTTCCTGCCCCCTCTCCCCCTCTCCTCGCCACCTCTCCCTCTCCCTCTCTCTCTCTCTTCCTCTCTCTCTCTCCCCCGACATCCCGGACACTTGGTAACAATGGAAGGCGTCCGTGCCACTCGCCCTCTCCGCTTCCTTTGGCCTCTTGTGGATTGTCCCCCTGCTGACCCTGTTCCCCCGTCTTCAGACCTATTCCAATAACATCGAAGAGCTCCTCTACCATGGGAAGCATATGATCCAGGTGACCGACCCGCGCACCTCGCAGGGGAAGTCCGCATACATTTCGTATGCTGTCAAGATTGAGGTTCGCTCCTGGCCCTGCCCCCTCTGCTCCTCCCTCCCGTGCTCAAGCCGTCCACCCCCCATCTCACACAATCAATCCCCCCCTGTGCACATCCCTCCCCCCCCCCTGGATCACATCGCATCACATCCATCCAGTCCCACTGCATCCGTCGGCGCTATTCCGACTTCGAGGCCCTGCACAACATCCTCTGCCTTCTGTACCCTACCGTCATCATCCCGCCGATCCCCGGCAAGGAGATGCTCAGCAAGGGTACTGCCGTTCACTGATCAGTCATCCTCCTCGACTTTCACCACCATCTTCCCCTCCCCCTCCCCCCCCCCCTCCCCCCCCCTGTCCTCTCCTTCCTGCCCTGTCACCAGCCACTCACCTGCATTGTCCTCCTTTCCTTGGATTTCAGTCTCCAAGGTTGACGACAAGTCCCCGGTGGTGGAGAAGCGCTGCGTGCAGTTCTCGGCGTTCCTCAACCGTATTGCACATCACCCCGTCCTGGCCTCGAACCCTGTCTTCCATGCCTTCCTTTCTTCCCCTGCTTGGGTATGTTCTCTCTTTGTTCTTGGCTCTCCCTTTGCCTCTGACCACCACTCACCCTCTTCTCCTGTCTCAGCTCGACATCCTTGAGGCCGAGCGTCGCAACCAGCAAGAGGCCCGCAACCAGCAGGAGGCCGAGGACAAGAAGGACATCGGCACCGGCATTTTCAGCATCAACATCGGCAACATGAGCATCACCGGCAAGAAGATCGAGGGTCGCTTTGCCCAGGTGGCGCACTCCAACAACAAGTTCGGCGAGCAGATTGCCGCCCTGGAGCGCGCTCTCCAGCAGATTGTCAACCGTCAGCAGAGTGCGCCCTTCCCTCCCTGAATAGTCTCTTCCTTTCTTTCACCTCCCCCCTCCTCTCTCTCTCTCTCTCTACATACCTCTCCCTTTCCCGACTTTCCGTCCCGCTCATCTTTCATCCCCTCCCCTGTCCTCCCTCCTGTCTTGTCTACGTATCCCCTTGGACATTACTCATTTTGCTGCAGGCATCTCCAACGACCATGGCGAGCTGACTCTTGTGCTGCGTAGCATGGCTGCCATTGAGACCGGCGCCCTTGCGCAGGCTCTGCACGATCTCGGCGTGGCCACCGACCAGTCCCTCCTGTCGGCCAGCTATCTGAGCCGCGAGCTGACGCGCCGGGCTCTCGATGGTGGTATCGCCGAGCGCGCGCAGTTCCCCCCGCAGGTGGACCGTGTGCTGAAGTACCACGCCCAGCGTGCCGCGGTTCTGGAGAGTGTCATCGCCAGCCGCACCGCGCGCGAGAACCACCTGGCCGCCCTCGATGACCCGGTACGTATCCGCTCGTCCTTTTTCGGCCGGGTCTCTCCTTCTTCCCGCCTTCCCCTTTCGCCTTCCCTCGCTCCCCAGCCTACTGATTCGAACCCCTCCTCCCCCCCCTTGACTGCTTGTCTCTGCTCTGCCTTGTCTCTTCCGCGCAGGACAAGGGCAGCTGGAACTCCATTGGCGGGGCTTTCTCGAGCATTTCCCGCCTGGTGTCTTCCAATTCGGATCAGGCGCGCAGCCAGCAGAAGGAGCAGCTTTCCAAGGAGATCCAGGACGTGCGTCATGCCTCTTCCCCTTTGATTTTGCCCCTCCCCTTCCGCGAGTTTCTCAAATCTGACCCCGCCCCCCCCCCCCCCCCCACGTAGTTCGACGAGGCCATCGAGAAGCGCAACAACGCCCTGCACGCCACCGAGGAGGCTATCCTGCGTGAGTATGAGTCCTACTCCGCGACCAAGGGTGCGCAATTTACCCCTCCCCCCTTTCCTTGCTCTTTCCCCCGTCCTTCTGACCTGTCGCCACTGTCACCATTCTCCCCACAGCCCAGGACATGGTCGATATCCTGATTGACTACGCTGCGCTCTATGTCCAGACTTTCGAGAAGGACCTTGAGCGCTGGGAGGCCGCTCTCCAGTCCCTCGAGGAGGTTCACTAAGGGATGTACTCCCAGGCCCGCTTCCCTCTCCCTCCTTCCTCCGCCCCATTTGCTTGCCCTCTGTTCCATCCTCCTCGCCAGCTCCCTTCCCCCTCCACTGGGGATGGGGGCCTTTAATGCTTCCTCCCGCAAAGTCATCCGCCTCCCTTTTTGGAGGACAAAAACAAAAAATAAACCGACAAATGTACTTTCCAACTTGATGTCCGGATCTCCTTCTTCCTCGGGTGAGTGGGGAGGGGGACAATGTTTCTTTTTTTTTGTTGTTGCTCTTTTTAACAGTGTAATGTGTAGTCGGAAATACAAGTCCCTCTCTTTCTTGGGTGAAAAGAGAGGCAGCTCCTCTCCCTCCCCCCCCTCGCATTATAACCTTCCTTTCGTGTGGGGCGAGGGAAGGGAAGGGGGGAGGGGGGAGAAGAGGGAAATGAGCCGACAGCTTGGCAAGCATGTGGGGCGTTTAGGCGCGCTCCAGCAGAACGGCGATACCCTGGCCACCACCGATGCAGGCCGAGCCAAGGGCATACGAGGAGGAGTTCTTGCCGTTGGCCAGCTGGTGAGCCAGGTGGCCAAGAATGCGAGCGCCACTGGCACCGAGAGGGTGTCCCAGGGCAATCGCACCACCGTTGATGTTCAGGCGGTTGGCATCCAGACCAAGCTCCTTGGCACAGGCCAGAACCTGAGCGGCGAAGGCCTCGTTGATCTCAATCTGACCAATCTGGTCCAGGGTCACGCCAGTCCGAGCCAGAAGGCGGGTGATCGAGGGGCAGGGGCCGATACCCATGATGTTGGGGTCGACACCGACCGACTGCCAGCCGGCGATGCGAGCCAGCGGGGTGAGGCCGTGCTTCTTGACAGCCTCCTCGCTGGCCACAATGAGGGCCGAAGCGCCGTCGCTGATGCCGGAAGCACCACCGGCAGTAACAATGCCATCGGCCTTGAAGACGGGCTTCAGCTTCTTCAGACCCTCAATCGTGGTGCTGGGCCGGGGGTGCTCATCGAAGTCCAGGGTCTTGACCTCGCGCTTGCTCTTGTACTCGATGGGGGTCAGCTCGTCGGCGAAGATGCCAGCCTCATGGGCGGCACCCCAGCGGTGCTGCGACTGAAGGGCGTAGTTGTCGACCTCCTCGCGGGTGATGCCATACTTGACGGCGAGGTTCTCAGCAGTGATGGCCATCGGGGTCTTTGTGTGTGCGTGTGTGTGTGCGAGAGAGAGAGAGAGAGAGGGCGCGTAAGTACTGGGCGCCATTCTGGGCGGAGCGCGCACAGGGCAGGGGGTTTGGCTAATGCCACCGCCGGCGCACCTTGATGTAGTTGTCAGTCAGAGCAGTCCAAAGGTAGTCCTCAAGGGCGGGGTTGGTGCCGAGGTTGACACCGAAGCGGATGCCGCGGGCAACGAAGGGGGCCTGGGACATCGACTCAGTGCCACCAGCCAGAACCTATGACGAAAGAGACACAGGGAGGGTTAGATATATGTCGGCAGGTTGAGGCGTTTGTGCCGGCCGGTGGCCGACTGTCTGGCGCCCGCATGGCCGCTCGTCCCTCCCACACACGCCGCCACTCATTCGGAGACATGGACGTACCACCTCAGCCTCGCCGGTGAGGATCTCCTGCGCGGCGGTGGCCACAGCCTGCAGGCCCGAGCCGCACAGGCGGTTAACGGTCAGGGCCTGGCTGTCGACGCGGCAGTCCGACCGCAGGGCGACATGGCGCGACAGGTAGATGGCATCGGAGCTGGTCTGCGCGACGTTGCCGAAGACCACGGAATCCACGATCGACGGGTCGATGTTCTTCGAGGCCAGGGTGGCCTTGGAGGCGTGCACTGCCAGGTCGGTGGCGGTCAGGTCACGCAGGGCACCACCGAAGGTGCCGAAGGGGGTGCGCTTGGCGGCGACGATGAAGAGATTGCGGCCAAGGGTGGACATGGCGGGACGGAGAGAGGAAAGAGGGGGAGGGGAGAAGGAGGGGGGAGGGAGGCGTCTCTGGGTGGACGCCAGCGCGAGCGAAGCGAGGGGGAGGCCTGATCTCTTTAAGGCGCGGGCTCATTCTCGTCGAATAGGGCGCAAGGATGTGAGCGGGGCGGGGGAGGGGAGGCCGCCTTGCCCCTACGTCGCCACCCCCCCCCCCCCCCCCCCCCCCCCCCGGCTCCGTGTCCAGTCATCCGGCCCAATTCCGGGGGGGGTATTGTTCCGGGGCATGTGAAAGTCCGGACGGCGGTGCTTGTTCCCCCCCCCCACCCCCCCTCCCCTGTGCCCCTGTCCCAGGCCCAGGCCCGAGGCCAGGGTTCGTTTCGTTTGGAAGGACTGGCGGAGGGGATGTGAGCTATCGTGTGCGGCAGCCCGCGGCTGGTGCGCAATAGCCGTGGGCGGCTCCTCTTCCGTGGGGCGGGGCGGGGGGGGGCGGAAGAGCCCGCTTGGGATATCCCCTCTTGAGTCCTTCACCGCGTCTTACGGTCCCCTCCGGCCCCAGCCCGAAGCGGCCTGGTCCCCGGCGCCGCCGTGGAACTCCACAAGCGGAACCAGCGAGAGGAGCACTGCCAGATGGGGGGAGGGCGGGAAAGGGGTTTCATGAGGAAAATAACACCCGACGGTGCGCCCCGCCGGCGGCGGGTTGAACCGCTCGTTAGCCAGCCCGACATGTGTTTTTTTCGGCCCGGTGAAATCTCGACAGAGAGAACCGGGGTCGGGGGGAGGGGCCAGGGAGCAACTGGAGATTGGGAAACCCGGGCACGACAAGGCAGGGCCGGGAACAGGCGCCGGGCGCGGCCACACCGCCCGGATGCGCACTTTGCATGCAGGCAACGCTCAGACGTGGCTCGGTGGCAGTGAGCAACAGCCCGAAAGGACGAATGTTCTCGGCAGGGGTGACTGCGCTGGACATATCAGTTGATCGACATCGCAGGTGGGTGTGGGGCGTTTCCGGGATAACTCCACATCCATGAGTGAGGGAGGGCGAAGCTCCTGGCTAGGGCGGTCCCTGCCAACTGCTGGGCGAGTGTTTGGTCCTTATTCTTCCTGGTCCCCTTTGCTTTCAACGTGCTCGGGCTTTTTATTTTTGTTGTCTTACTAATGCTCCCAGGCGTAGGGGGTTTCGTGCGTGCGTGCGTGCGTGCTTTCTTGCATGCCCGCGGCTGGGTGTGTGGCGTCCGGGGGGGGGGGGGGGCGAGAAACCTCCGCCCTGACTCAGCCCCGGTGAGTCGCCTTCCAGAGCAAAATATCTTCAGCTGATTTACCGAGCATATGATTAACACGTCCCATATAGTCTAGGTGGTTAGGATACGTGGCTCTCACCCACGAGACCCGGGTTCGAGTCCCGGTATGGGAAATATTTTGCTTCCTGCACTTCGCTTTTGGACAAAGGGCAGAAAAAAGTAATTTGACCACGATGCGGCTCGAACACACAACCTCCTGATCCGTAGTCAGGTGCTCTATCCAATTGAGCTACGCGGCCATGGGAGTCAGGTAGCACATTCGCTAGAAATTCACCCCCGTTCGAGCGACCGGACAAAAGGGACCCCGGCTGTCTGGATGCGCAGCTCCGGTGCAAGAGTCCTTCCGGCTTTCGTGCCCCCCTGGCTTTTGGGGCCTTGCTCTTGACCTTTGGGCCCCCACCCGACCGAAAGCACATCCTCATGCCAGTCAAGCCATCTCAAGCATGGTGTCCCAGACACAGGGAAGAGCTCATGGACATGATTCTATTGGTGCTGGATGGAGCCATAACCGGCCCGTCCGCTGATCGGCATGCGCATCATGCGGAGGGTGCCGTCGACTCGAAGGGGAGAGAGAGAGAGAGAGATCAAACAAAAAGAGGAGGCCGTAGCCATTGATCCGGAGCAAGGAACTCAATGCGCCGGGGCCGGGGCCGAAAGCGCATCCAGATGCAGCGTAGCGCGGTGGTAGTACTGCGAAGAGGGCAGACGCAGGAGCACATCCACAGCCAGCGGCCCGGCGCCAGACTGCTCCGAGAGGCAGACAGCCGATGCAGCCGCCAAGGCTGATACCAAAGCCACTCCTCGCCCGCGGCCGGCTGAGTAGGAGTAGCCGGCCGTGGTGGCATAGCCGAGGACCGGCAAGCGGCATGGCAAGTCCGGATTGTTCCCGCCATCGGCGAAGGGAGCCGGCAGCAGGCGCACGGCCACACGCAAGTGGCGACGCTCAACGGGTGCCCCAGCCACTGCACCCATGGCATTCAGGGCATCACGCAGAGGGGCGGGCAAAAGCAAAATCTCGGCCCCACGCTCGGGCGACCCGCGAGAGTGCTGCACAGGGGGTGGGGGGAGAGACCGAGAGCGAGAGCGAGAGCGAGAGAGAGAGAGAGCGAGAGAGAGAGCGAGAGAGAGAGAGAGGCACCAGAGTCAGGAGGCTGGCGCACGCGGCCAGGGCAAGCGGCAGCGGGGAACACAGGGGAAGATGTACACATACCATGGTGAACCAGCAAGAAATCATCGGACTACCATGGAGCCCAGGTCGACCAACTGCCCGGGCCACCTCCTCCTGCAGAACCCCAGGCAGGATGGCGAGTGACGTGCCCAAGCGAGTTGCCTGATTCGAGACCATGGCACTTTCGGACCTGACGCGCTTGACCGCTCGACTGACGGCCTGACGCTCGGCGGCCGAGCGCAGGAGGAAAAGCCCCAGCCGGTCGCCGGCCATTCGGCACACCGGCAAGGCAAAAGGCCACGCTTGGGGCCCCTCGGCATCCTCCGGCTCAGAGCCAAGACACGCCTGCTGGCCTGTGAGCAATCCAGCCAAGTCGCGCGGGTAGACCACCTCCTGGGATCGAAGGCCCAGGTTGGCGAATGCCGGGCGCTTGGCAGCAGGACGCAGGGTATAGCGATCGTGCGCCACCTCCGCATGGAAGTCATCAAAGGAATCGAAACTCAGGGCGTCCACATCGTCGCGCGGGAAGCTGGCGTAGCCCTCCTCAAAGAAGTGGCTCTCCAGATCGAGGGTACCTGCTTGGACAGGGAGGGTCAGAAATAATGCAGCATGGGCGCATCCTTGTCGCGCGGGGGAAGTGCCCGACCCCCGGCCGACAGCCAGCCACAGCACACGCACCAATGGCTCGGGCCCCGGCGAAAACCAGCGCCCGAAGAAGATCTCGAGCATACCCCCACGGGAAGATCACATCCCAGCCATCATCAGCCACCCCGGTCCCGGCACCCGGAACACAAGGGGCAGAGCCGGTTGATCCACTTCCGACCACTCGAGACACGAGGAACACGGGGATTGGCGACGGCTCGTCCGGGTGCCCGGCGGGCACGGCAGAGCCGAAACACCCGCCGCGCATCTGCTGCACCGTGCGCTCCGGCAGCCGGCCACTCGAGAGGCGAACCCGCGTGCCCTCATCCCACAGATTTGATCGGGCCAATTCGGCCGAAGGGGTGGACTGGGCTTTTGAGTTAGTTCGAGCAGGGGGAAAGGCAAGGGGAGCAATCCGGGAAGATGGGTGGGGAGGAAGGACAGAAGGTGCCCCAATGCGCACCAGAGCAGCCTGCAATGCCGTGGCATTCTGCAAGGAGACAACCGAATCGGCGATTGGGTCCGAGCGCCGTCCCTGACGCAGGCTGGCAGTTGCCTCCAATCGCGGATCACGAATACCCAAAGCAATGACCAGCCCCGGCGGAACCAGGCCCCTGACCGAAGGCAACTGGGCAAGCTGCCGCCAGAGCGCGGCCGCCGGGGCCGACGTGGCTTCCTCGCACACGCGCAACACCTGGGCCAGGGCAGCATGCCCGCGTGGGCCATACACCCGCAGGAGACCAGTCCGTTCGTGATTGGGTGACAAACTCTCCGAGTTGTCAGCAGACGCATCGGGGGCCAAGTCAATCACAGTCGGATCGGCCAGCAACCGAGCACTGAAAGCCAGGCCGGAAAACTCGGCTTCAGCCAGCGCCTGCTGCCCGGCCCGAGTGAGAGCCTGAGCCACGGCAGTCCCGATGGAGGGGTGGCACCAGAGCCATGCACGCCGACCGGGCTCCGCATCGTCTGCTGGGCGCCAAAGGATCCGCACAGGGCCGAGCAGCACAAACGGAGCGGTGCCAGGGGCAAAGAGCAGGCCCTCGGTGACGCGGCCACTCGTCAGGGCCCGACCCGACGCCAAGTTGCCCTTCACCGCGGGGTGCTGTACCAGTGTGAAGGCACGACGCAAAAGGGCCTCCACGTGTGCAACATCGGCACCGGTCCTGCCCGGTCGCGCCAGCACCTCCACCTGGGCCTGATACGAGGCATCGTGAATCAGGGCCGCCGAGCGGAAGGACCGCCACACAAAGCGCAGGCCCTTGTCGGTGGCCCGCAACGGCAGGCGCCATCCCCAAGCATCATGCAGGTGGAAGCGTTTGGCATGCCACACATGTGTCTCAAGCCATTGGCGTCCAGTGCGCGCTTGGCGTCGGGCAAACTCCGTGGATACGAGACGCGTGGGACGCCGGCGCTTGCGCCGGCTGGCCATGCCGACTCCGTGCTGGGGCGGCGCGCTGCCGGATTTCAAATGGCGCTCATTCTCCAGCGCGGCCGCCATGCGCAGACGCCGCGGCAGTCGGTTTGGATTGTAGGAAGCCATCCGCCGGCGCATATGCCGAGGGACCGATTGAAAGGTGCGCATGGTGTTGGCACTGGGCCGCCCGGGGGAGGGTGGCCAACATTCAACATGGCCAAGGGAGAGGGTGAGAGGGAGAAGAAAAAAGAGCACGAGCAGGGAGGGAGAGATGCATGGATATGTGTGGGCGGAAATTCCCTGTATGTGTGCATGCGGGGCGCGGAGCAGGATGTTGAGGCAACACACCGGGCATTCAGGCGATTGATGAACCAGGCGGACTCGGTCGCGCGGGCCTGAATGAACTTGGTCGCATGGATGGCCCGCACATCGCCGGCGTCGAACTGCTTGCCGTCGCCGGACATGGGATCACGCGTGCTTTCGGTGGATGGCTCAGGCGCAAGGGGGAGATCCGACGACCAAGGGCTGGAGGGGACACAGATGGAGGGGGCAGAGGGCGGGTGGTAGGGCAAAAGGGAGGGGAGGCGTGAACTAAACACGCCAATGGTATGTGGGATGTGTCACCCAGCTTTTGGCCCGCGGAAAGTTTGCCCCCCCCCCCCGGGCGGTGCGATCATCCTGGCGGATCGAGCAGGCTGTCCCTCGCGGGCAAGGGGGCATTCGTTGGCACCTGGCAGCATTGTCCGTCCGATGGTAGACTTACCTGGATGGTGTTGTCCGCCCCAGCCAGGTAGAACGATCGCGGCCGCCAGGAAAGAGAAAAGGGATGAGTGTGTTTGTGTGTGTGTGTGTGTGTGTGTGTGTGTGTGTGTGTGTGTGTGTGTGTGTGTGCTTGACCCCCTCAAGCGAACGGGAGAGACTGGTGTAAAATGTATGATGTATTGGAAGGAGAGAGGCAGGGGGAGGGAGAGAGAGAGAGAGAGAGAGGGAGAGAGATGGAAAGGCAGAAGAAAAGTGGCCCATCTACTCGGCTGCCGCAGCAGTAGTCACTTCGTCCGGACCGGCATCGGCGGCAACCGGAGCCGCGGCAGCCGGTGATTCGCCAGCCTGCCCGCGGTCGGCTCCGGCTCCGGCTCCGGCTCCGGCTCCGGTCCCGGAACGTGAAAAGCTGACGAAAGCCAGGGGAATGCCAACAAACACCCGTCGAACGACAAGCCACCGCGGCCAGCCCGGCACCGTGGGGTAGCCCACCGGGAAGAGCCCCGTGTAGGCCGGTGCCATGAGCGATGTAAGCAGATGACCGATGTATGCCACACCCATGGACGCCAGCAGCACGGCCATCACCACAGCTCCAATCGAGAAGAGCACCAAAATCAGGTAGAACAGCTGCACCAGCAGCACCAGCACCGGAACCTCCGGCAGCTGGGTCAAGCTGCAGTGCGTCGGCGTCAGGGATAGTGCCCGGCAGTAGGGCCGATTGTCAGCCAGAGCAATGGCCGCCGCGTGTTCGGCGGCCAGGCGCGAAAATTCCGCCATCGTGGCCGGGTCACTACCTCGCTCGAGGGGAGAGGAGGGATGGGTGCCATTGGCGGTCGCCTCGGCGGCCACGGAGGCTTGGGCCGCTGCTGCCAGTCCAGCCGCCGCGAAGAGCGGCGAGTCCGCCGGGAAGCACTCATCAACCTGCACGGCCACCATTTGCAGCGAGGCAACCGGAGCCGCGGCAGCCCATGCCCTCAGCGAGTAGACGAACGACCGCGCCGAGCTGATATCCACAACAATGTCGGCTGCGCGACGAAGAGGCGTTGTCCCATGCGAGGCAGCTGGCCGGGGGCCCGAGCTCGAGGAGCCTCCAGCCCCGGGCAATGGGCTTGTCGAGGAGTTTGTGGCCGTCGTGGCACCCGTCGCCGATGTCGCTGCTGTTGCAGTAGCCGCCGCCGCGGCTGCCGCCGCCGCCGCCGCCGCCCGAGCCCCGGAGGCCGGAGCACCGCCATATAGTCGAGTGTGGCTTAGCCGAGCCGCCTCCTCGCGCAGCTCCCGGAAGGACTCCAGCAGCTCCAGCAGGGAAAGGGAGGCCTCAAGCTCGGCCGTCTCAGGATGCGACACATGGCCATCAATGTCCATCTGAACATCGACATCGTCGTCGTCCTCCTCCTCCGCCGCCTCTTGGGCAGCAGCATCTCCCGGTCGAGGGGACACCCTTGCCGTCGAGTCGCCAGTGGCCGCCGAGGAGCCCTGCATGACCGCCGGGCGCCCGGACGACCGAGGGGTCGGACGATCCACCTCATTGGACAGGCGTTCGGCCGTGTCACGGAAGGACTGCAATTGGTCGAGGAAGTGCCCGGCCATGCGCTCGGCATCGGGGCCCTCCTCAGAGGGCCCGGCACCGAGGCACATATCGGCAGTGCCCCCGGGGCAGGGGGACACCATGCCCGGAAGGCCGGCATCGCCAGTTGGCAAGTCCAGCAGATGGCGAGTTTGTGGCCGACTGGACCCAGGCTGGCGCAGGACTTCGAGCCCCCCGCGACCAGCAAGTCGAGCCGTATGAACCGCTGTCAGGCGCTCCACCAGCCGGGCGGGCTCGGCTCCTCCGGCGATGAGGTCATCCCACCGGGCATAAAAGGCATCCGCCCCGGAGGCGGGCATGCGTTGCGCGGCCCCGAGAACCCACCCATCCTCCGGCACTGGCACCGGTGCCCGGGAACGCAGATGCTTGGCAGCTCGGAGCCGGGCACGCTGCATACGCAGGGCCTCCGGCCCGAGCAGCGTCGACCACGCATCCCCGGCCAGGGTCTCGTCCAGGCCACAAGCATGACAGACCGGCACCTCCCCCGGGGCATAGGGGTACGCCACGAAGTCCACCGGCTCTCCGTCCACGTGGAAGATGTCGGCCGTTAGAACGGCCCCAGGGTAGGCATCGATGAAGGCCTGTGCATCGGCCGACCCGGCCGGCGAGCTGATCGCCAAAATGAACTTCTGAGTCATGTCCTCCGGGTCAAAGTGGACTTTGAAGAGGGTGAGCATGTGCATGGATATTTGCATATCGGGGGGCGGGGTGGAGAGAAAGAGAGAGAGAGAGATAGATAGATCGATAAAAGGGGAAGGGAAGGGAGGGGGTGAGTGAAGGAGGAGGGGAAGGAAAAGGCACCGGAAATAGGCGGAGGAGCGTGATGGGGAAGTTATGCATCGGGAGGATGGCCACCAGGCGTCGCACCATCGGCTGTATCAAGGGCAGCCACACGCGCATGCACAAACAACCGCCGACCGAGGATCCCCCGGCGAACGAAGGTGCTATCCTCGGTGACTCGATCGCTGGCCGCATCCAGACGGTACCGCTCGGCCACCACGAAGAAGGACACATCCACCGACAGGGCATTGGCACGTGCGCGAAGGGACCGCTCAACCAGCGGGGCAATCGGCGGTAGCACCGGGTTCAAGTCCACCGGAGTCGAGGACCGCGACAGGAAGGACAGCATGTAGGCGACCGGCCAGAAGAAGGAGGAGAAAATGGATGCCAAGTTCCGCCGAGCCGTTTCGTGGATCAGCTTCGCTCGGGCCACCATGGCCCGGAAGAGATTGCGCATGGATGCCTCCGATACATCGGTCGCCGTGTAGAAAGAGGCACCACCACCAGCCCCGGCTCCGCCGTGCGCCCGAGCACTGACCCCCCAGATGCTTGATCGCCAAGCCGATCCCGAAGACAGGAGCCGGTGCAGCGTGTGAGGGTGCAGCCTCAGGACCGACACGACGGTGCCATCCACACGGGCTTCTAGGGCTGCAGCGGGATCCGAAGCGTCGGCTGCCGTGGTCAAAAGAGCCTCCTCCTGTGCCTGGGCCACCTGGAGCAATGAGTCCAGATGCCCAACCACGGTTCGTGTTGACAACGGGTGCCGATGGGCATCCACGCGCCATACGCGCCGGTCTACCGGCGAGGCAAACACCCCTGGGCCATAGTTCAGGCCCCGGTCATCCGGATCATTGGAATCCCCGGGGGTTGACGATGCGCTGGTGGAGGTCCGAGCATTGAGTCGACTCAATTCCAAGGACACCAGGCCACTTACTGGCGGAAGGGAACCGGACATTTGGTCGTTGGGGGGTGGGGGGGGGGGGGGGGAGGGGGAAGGAGCCGGCCAGACAGGGCAGTGAGTAGCACGCAAAGGGGAGAGTACTATTGGGGGACATTTGCAAAGACAGGGTGGCAGCCGAAAGGCCGGGGAAATGACGAACCGCCCTGCGCGGAAGGATACGGAATCCGTCTCGGAGAAAGGAAGCACTGCATCCCGTTGCCCGGGGAAGTAATGCACTCGTGTTTGCACTTCCGGGCGACGCATGCAGGTAGACACGTATTGCGTGGGGTAAACATCCGAATAGGGAACTGACGCCGAGGGGGGGGGGGGACATTAGAATTGTGTGGGGAGTGGGGAGAGGTGGAGAGGAGGAGGGAGATGCAGAGCGTGTGGGAAGGCGGGGAGGCAGAGACAAAGGCAAAGAGGAGAGAGAGAGAGAGAGAGAGAGAGGAGGGACATCAACATGTGACGTACTTGACCGAGGCGGCCGGATAGGGGATTCATCGTGGGCCTGGGCTGCAGCCGGCTCACCACCAACTGACAGGAGGAGGGCACACGCCAGCAGTGCGAGTAACGCCAGTGCCGACAGGGGCCGGAACATTGGTGCCGGCTGCGACCGCCGGACACATCTTGGGGGAGCCGCGATCCGGGGTATCATGTCGGGCGCACACGGGGGGCGAAGGGGGACGCGGGGCGGAAGAAAAAAAGGAACGGATATTTGGCTGCGAAGGGGGGCGGGTGGGGCAGAGTGATCACAGGCAGAAAGGCAAGAGTGGGAGGAGAGGGGAAGGGGGTTTGGATTGGGGCCAGCGAATACCTCTATCCGAGGCCACTTGAAGGGGCTCAAACAGGCAGACCGAGACAAGCTCACCTCAGGCTCCCCACTTGACCGAGGAAAAAAACACACCCAGTCCATGAGCGAGAGAGGAACCCGGAGAGGGGGCGGAAGGGAGGGACCGCTCGGGGTGGGGGGGAGTTAGCCTCTATCCCGCCGATGCCCGTGGTTGGCTTCCCACGGATGGGCGCATGCCTTCAAGGAAGGCAGAAGGGGGGCCAGGAGCGGGGAGGGGGGTCACACTCCCACCGGTCTTCGACCCCGGTCAGCGTCGAACATCTTGATCCCGGCTCTTGGCGTCATCACAGCCCCTCCCTGCATCTCGAGCGCCCCCCGGGGAAGCGCCCCCCCCCCCCCCCCTCTCTCCGGGCAGACCTCCGTTCCCAGGCAGATTCACCTGCGGCCGCCCCTTGCCTGTCCAGCAGCTCCGCAGTAGGGAGGGCGACCTGAGCGGGGCCCACCGAGCGGCCGCCATCTGCCAATGTATCTGTACCAGCAGGATGCTGGCGCCGCTCGACGAGCGAAAGACAGCAGATTGCACAGACAAATCGTTGGGACCTCCTGCCGGGACGCCGCTCGGAGACACCCGGGGACCATCGTGATCCATGCTGGCACGTGAAAGACGGACATGCGGCCTCGATCGAGCGCCGAGCCCGAACACGCCCCGACATGGATCCACGATGCCCCCACGCTGGAGCTCCGCCGTCGGGGCCCCTCGCAGGATGGAAATCCCTGCCCGAGTAGGGGACCCCGAACTGGCCGCCTGGCCTCGGCATTCGGTTGGAGCGGGAGTCAGCCAGGGCGGACCGCCGATCCCCCCTCCCGACCACACATACATACACACGCATGCGGCCCCTGCCCGTTGGTTAAGAAACGAGGAAAAGGACAAAAGAGAAAACGGGAATGCTAAGCACTGGAGGACCTATGGAGCCTCCTCCCTCGGCCCCTCCCTTCCGCCCTCCTCCCACTTTTCTCGCCTACACACACACACACACACACACACACACACACACACACACAGGATGGCCACCCAGCACCGTCAACCCGTGCTCCCGCTGGCCTTCGGAGCCGGCTTCCCCTGTCGAGTGTCGGGCGTCAATCCGGCGGTCATTGCCGACCCGGGCACCGAGACGCCAGCAGCCGATCGAGAGCTCGCCCTCACTCGGGGGCGTTTCGTCGTGGCCACCGAACCCATTCCCGCTGGCGGCGCGGTTCTCATTGCCCTGCCCTACGCTCTGGCCGTGGAGGACTCCCAGCGCAAGCGGTATAGTTCAATGACACTCCTCTGCTCCCCTTCCCCCCCCCTCCCTACCACCACCACCACCACCACACACGCACACAGGGAGATTCTACATTCTTCTTTCCCTCAACCACTCCTCCCGGTGCTCCCTGGCATATTGCTCCGCTTTGAAGCAAACCTGCTAACATGTCTTCGAAAGTGTGTGTGCTTGGTGTACCATGTGGGCCGGCGATCTCCCCCCTCCATCGGCATGTCGGTACGAGGTTGCTGAGGCCATCCTTGGGGTCATGGCTGCATCAGCCGCAGCTTCAGAAATGTCACCGCCTGGAGTCCAGCCTCCCATGCCCCCGGCCGGCCCGGCACGAACTCTTCCTTTCAGCTGTCGCGGCTGCGATCAGTACTACTTCTGTTCGATCCTTTGCCAACGCGCCTTTACCGAGGGGCTGGTCCATGATGAGATGGCCTGTCGCGCGCATCGGACCCTCTCCTCTCGCATCAAGTCCCCCTCCGTGGCTGTGGTTATGCGGCTGATTTTTGATCTCGTCCGCTTGGGCAACTCCGGCCCGTGTAGTCGCTACTCTCGACTCGGATCGGCTGGGCAGCTCGAAGAGCGCCTTCGTGGCATCCGACTTGTCGAGGACACCCGCTGCCTGTCCTTGGTGCTGCCCTGCTTCGATGATGTTCAGGGCCTTCAGTCCCATGCCAATGACATGGAGGCAGCCGAGGTGAATGATTGGAGGTTCGTCCTTAGATGGGGGGGGGGGGGGGGCCATGCTTTACATGTGGCATGAGACTGGCAGGCCGATTGACCATCCGTGTGAACCCCTCGCAGCTCCGATCTCAAGCGCCTCCATGCTGTTTTTCGGGAAAGTGGCATTGATCTGGGCATTCTCCGTCGGGAAACTTGCCTGTCTTCGGGGTCCAGCGAGTGCCGGTCGCCGGTTCGCAAAAATCCCCACCCCAGGAAGGCCCATCGGGGTGGGAAGAAAAGCGCCAACATCACCAACGACCATTCGCCCCCGATCCCGGAGCACTCTCCCCCCGTGGCCGTCCCTGCGTGTTCGGCTTCCCCTCGGCAGCATGATCCCCTGTTGACTCTTTTGTCGCGACTTGAGTCCAATGTGTTTGGGCTGTTCCACAGTCCGTGGCTTCCGGAGCCCCCGAGCAGCTCGATGAGTCCGGAAACTCCGAAGCCCCAGCCCACGAGGGGGTCCATGGGGAAGCCCCAAAAGAAGCCATCCTCCGCCAAGTACGGCCGTGGTGTGGTCGAGACCCAACCCTTCGGCCGGGCTATCATCCCGGAGGCCAGCTACTTTAATCACTCGTGCAATCCGAACGCCGAGTTCCATTGGACATGGCTCCAGCCGCCGGGACAGGACCCCGCGGCCGGAGAAGGCGATTCGGCCGTCTGCCCAGTCATGGTGTTCCGTGCAGTGCGGCCGATCGCCGTAGGTGCGCGCCGCAAGGCGAAACTGGCTGGTGATGGGGGGGGGGGGGGGGAGGGGGGGCGGATGCGTCTGCGGCCGGCCATCACGGGGCGGGAAACACTTGCACACCGCGAAGAAGCTCTAATTGCCGTCCCTGGAATCATGTCCCTCTCTTTGTCTCTCCCTTCCTCCTCTTCATCCTCCCGCTCTTGCTCGGGTCTACGCAGGTGAGGAGGTAACCATCTCCTATGTGCCGACCAATCGACCGGTGTCAACCCGGCGACACCAATTGCGGGAGGGGTACTTCTTCAATTGTGGGTGTGATCGGTGCTGCCAAGAGGCCGGCCCGAGGTGAAAACGCGCCGGCAAAGTCCCGCCCCTATCCCGACATGCCTCTTCAGCCAATGAGCTCCTGGCTCCTTTGCCGGCCTGTGATTTCCAAATATCCATCATCAGGCTTGAGCCGCCGGAAAGAATATAACAGAGCAAAAAAATAGATGCCCGATGGCAGTCGGAAGTGTGTTTATTTTATTTCTCCCCCCCCCGGGGGGGGGGGGGGGGCGGCGGGTGTGTGTGTGTGTCAGTCAGAGTGGCCCCCTTCCTATTTTGCGGCGTCGGCCGGATCACCAAAGCTCCCTTGGGTGGATCTTGAGCTCTTGGTTGGTGCACCCCCTGACCACTCGGGGCGCCCCCAGCCATCCATTTAGCGAGCGTGCCCCAACCCACACCTCCACTTGATACACTGTCCACCTCCATCTGCCTTTCGGTTCCTACTCCTGCCCCCCCGCCCCTCCCTCTTTCTCTCCTTCTCCACCTGCCTCTCTCTACTGGGATCTCCCTCCCTCGTGTAATCCCGTCGCCTCCCTCCTCCATCGCCATGATTCATACACGCCCACTTGCCCGGGTTGTCACAACCTTGAGCTATGCTCGTCCCCTTGTCGCTGTGCCCCATCGCACCTTCTCAGGAGATGCCGGTTCTCCCGCCACCCCGGCAGACCCATCTCCTTCGGCTGCCTCCAAGACCAAGGCTGCCTTCGAGGGGTTCAAAATTTACACTCGTGGTGGGGACAAGGGCCGGACTGCTCGCTACACTGGGCCCCATGCCCGGCCACTTCGCACGCGAAAGGACCATGCTGTGTTCGAGGCACTTGGGGCACTTGATGAGCTGAATGCCGCCATCGGGTATGGTGCATGCCTGATCTCGGGGTGGGGAGGAAGTAGATGGATCACCGGCCCTGTCATTCTGCCCAGCTGCCTGCCCACCCCGACTCCAAGCGCTGACTCTGATGACTAGCCTCGCACTGGAACACTGCCTGATCGAGAAAAATGGCCTGGCACCGGCTCTGATTGATGTATCTACCGCCAACTCTTGGTCCTGCTCTTTCCCTGTCGCCCCTCTCCTTTCCTCGCCTCCTGCCTCCATCACACTCATCTCCCTGCCTGCCTCTCCTCCCAGCTACAGCACACTCTCTTGGATGCCGGGGCCGCTGTGGCCACCCCGCCACGGGCAAGTGAAGAAGCAATCGGTGCGACAACCCCGGCATCCACCTCGCCTCCTGGGGCCCTCTCTCCGCCGGATTCTTCTTTTTGTCCCTTTACGGTCATCCACCTGCCCGTGCCTCGCACTGACCGGTCCATTTAGCTCGCGTTGCCTTCGATCTCGACCACAGCCGGACCAAGCTTCTGGAGGATGCCATTGACGAGCTTGACACCCAGCTCCCGCCACTTCGGCAATTTGTCCTGCCCGTATGTTTGCCCGGATGCCTGCCTCTATGCTCCCTGTATCATGGCCCTCTCACCCCCGTCAACATGTTGTGCTGGGCCTCCTTTATGTCACTCAAAGTGCGGTAGTCTCGCGGCCGCCTCGCTGCATGTCGCTCGAAGCACTGCGCGCCGTGTCGAGCGCAGGCTGGTGACAGTTCTCCTGCCCCCCGAAGATTCTGGCCTGGATCCCGAGCACCTCATCGCGACCGCGGTGACCCCTGGTCTCCTTCCTTTCTTCAATCGGTACAATACCCCCTTTGGTGCTTTTTCCGATATCCTCCTCTCTGCAAATCCTCTCCTTGCCTCTCTCTCTCTCTCTCTCTCTCTCTCTCTCTCTCTCTCTCTCTCTCTCTCTCTCCCTCACACACACACACACCACCCTCTTCTTCATCGCCACCATCGCCCTCTTCTTCCTCCTCTCTTCCATCCCCTCTCCTGACGTCGTCCGTCCGGCCACGGGCTGGTGCTACATATATCCAGGCTCTCGGACTACCTATTTGTGGCAGGGCGCTTTGCCTCGCACCATGCCGGAGCTCCGGAGCGATCTCACGCCTTCCAAAAGGAGACTGACTACCAGCGCTCAGAGCCTCTCTTCTCTCGCACTTCACCGGAATAAGAGGGCGCCTCCTGTGTCCCGAGGCGACCCGGCCGTGTCCCTTTGTGCGGGCAGGAGATCGACCAGGTCGATACGTTGGCAGCTCCGCGAGTCAAATGCACCCGCGGTGGGTCAGTGCTGCGCGGTGCGCCTGCCTGAAGCAACCAACACACTCCCCCCCTCCCCCTCCCTATCTGCTCCCCCTCCGCGGTCTCTTATCCCACATTACCAGAGTGTGTCTATCTCCACTGTTGCTATCCTCGCCGCCCTCCACTCTTCCCGGAATAGAAGTGGAGGTGAGTGCCTGTGGCCCCGAAGCTCTAACCTCATCTGTGTTCCCCCATCGTCCCTCCTCCCCCCCCCCCCTCAAACAGGACATTCTCACCATTTGAGCTTGCTCTCCCTGCAAATCAACATGTCCACGCATGAACTGTGCGCCCTGCTCCGCCCCAGATGCACCTCCCTCTCCCCTCCCCCCTCCCCCCCTCCCCCGCCTTGGTGCTCTCCACAGGAAACCCACCACTCACCTCCCCTGTCCCACACTGTAGCACCACTCGAATCCCTTTCCCCACCGCGCGTCAGGCGGAGATCGTGCTGCGGAGCGTCAATGCCGACCCCGAGCCGGTTGCCAGTGTCCTCAACCGAACGATGGAAGTCCAGGATAATGTCCTCCTCATGTGCGCGCCCTCCCGGCCCTGCCCCCTCTGGCCACACAAGAAGCTGCCATGGCCCTCGCCGCTGACATTCTGCCGACTCCTTTCCCATGCCTCCCCCCCCCCCCGCCTGGTGATGCAGCACAATTCGGTCGGAGTCCCTTAAGACCATCCGTTCCTGCATGAGCTCCATGCTGGATATGATCCAACTCTCGATCGAGACCCAGGCTCGGTTCTCGCTCTGATGTTACCCATGGGGCATGTGATATAAATACGTAAAATAACTTATAGAATCGTCATGCTGGAGTCGGGTGGCCTGGCACATTTCCGCCGGTGGTGGAGACGCGGCAGAACATGTCAGCCCAGCGGCCCGGGCCCAGGTGGGTCTCTGCGCCACAGAGAGACGCACCGGGGCAAGGGGAAACCCTCTGGTGGGGAACAAACGGGGATCACTTCGAGGGCGCTCCCGTGGGGGTGGGGCCTGTGCCAAAGCCGCGAATCCTGTCTCCCATTGCCCCAGGCCTCCGGAGGGTGGCAGCCTGTGGGGGGGGGGGGGGGGCTGATGGAGGGGGCGGGAGACGCTGAAACCCTCGGCAGAGGACGCACGTGTCGGAGGCTGGCAGCTCGGCTTTTTTGTCACCACCCCTTTGCGCGGAAGGGGGGCGGGGTCACAGCTATGAATGTAACATCAAGAGAAGGGGACCCAGGCTAAGAGGGAAAATGGGGGAAAAGTCCCGGGCGGCAGACCACAGGCCAAGGCCTCGGCTGGGCGAGCGTGGGATGCTGCTGGCTGCTGTGCCCCGCCATAAGTCCCTCTCCTGTTCACTCCCCTCCGTGAGGGAGAGAGAGAGAGAGAGAGAGAGAGAGAGACCGGTGCTGTGCGTTGCCTGTCTGCCGTTCGGGGACTTCCTTGTACCGCCCTATCCTCTGCTAGATCTTCTGACGGCGGTGTGGTGGATGGGTCCAGGCATGAAGGAGAAATCACTTCAACTTACCCCGACAATATTTCTCAAATATCTCCCTTCGATTATTCTTCCATTTTCCACTTCTTGCGTGCTCGGGTCTCTTCCTCGCATGAACACGCCCGGTATGGGGTGTTGTCAGCTGCAGATTACAATGATGTAATTGCCGGGTGGGGAAAACGCCCAGACAAGTGGGGCGCCTCTTGGCTGCGCCGCACTCTGGTGGGCAGCTGCCAGTCCTCGGCCCTCGCGCGCACTTGGATGGCTAGTTCGGGTTGTGAACGCGAGGGGGGCACCATCGCGAGCATGTGGCCCGCCGCGAGGAAGCCCTCCGAAGAGACCGGCGACCGTGGGGGGGGGGGGGGGCAACGGGGGAACCGACCGGGCATATGCCCCCCCCCCCCCCGCGGCGGGTCTGGCCGTCTGACTTGGGTCGGAGGAGCGCTGGGAGGAAAGTACCCGGGCGGGCGCTCTGCACCCCAACTTTTGTGGCTGCGGGGGCCGTGCGCCTCCCCCCGGGCAGCCTCAGCCGTCTTTGGAGTGTTACTTTGTTGTCACCCCCTCACCGGTACCTCCCTCCTTCGCATTTTCCCCGTTCCCCCCCCTCCCTCCCTCGCCCCCCCCCTCACCTCCTGACCCCTGCTGTTTCCCTCTCTTCCCCAGGTTCTACCAATCACCATGTTCCGCGCTGCCCTGCCCCGCCTGGCCCGCGCTGCCTCTGCCCAGGTGCGACAAGAGGCCTCCTCTTTACTCGAACGAGAAATCATCCCATCCCCCCTCGTCTCCTCTCCTGTCTGCTCCGCTGGCGCCTTCTCACCACTTGCATCATCTGCCTCTCCCCCTCTGCTCCGCGTCCCCCCCCCCTTCAACTCGACCAGGCTGCCCGCTCGGTTGCCGTCCGTGCTGCCGTCGCCCCCACCGCTGCCTTCTCCACCACCCCGGTTTCCGCTGCCGCCATCCCCACCGGCCTGAACCTGGCTGCCAAGGGTTTCGCCGCTCGCTCCCCCGCCTTCGCCTTCACCCGCGCCTACTGTACGGCTCTGCCTTCCATTTGTCCTAATCTTTCGGATATGTTTCTGCCCTCCGCCCACTAACGTCTCTCTCGCTCTCATGTCCCTTTCTCCGCATCCTTTCCCTTCACTAGCCACCGGCAAGGAGCACGTCGTCAATGTCCCCTTCATGGCTGACTCCATCACCGAGGGCGAGCTCTCTCGCTGGGAGATTCGTGCGTCGCCCTCCCTCACACACCGTCAAACTCCCTTTCGCGTCTATCGCATCCACTCACTCTCCACTCTTCCGCGCGCGCGCGCGCACGCACCCCCTCCCCGCTCCTCCACACCTCTCCTTGGCTCCTTGGCTGGGACGCAGCCGTCGGCTCCTTCGTCAAGCGCGATGGCACCATTGTCACCATCGAGACTGACAAGGTGACCATCCCGGTCAACGCTCCTTTCTCTGGCATTGTCACCGAGCACTTCTCCAAGGAGGGTGACAACGTCCAGGTCGGCAACCCCCTCTTCAAGATGATCGAGTCCGAGGATGCCGGTGCTGGTGCCGCCCCTGCCGCCGCTACCAAGGCCCCCGAGGCCCCCAAGGCCGCCGAGGCTCCCAAGGCCGCCGAGGCCCCCAAGGCCGCTGCCCCTGCCAAGGCCCCCGAGGCCCCCAAGGCCACCCCGGCCGCCGCCGTCTCTGTTGAGGATGTCGTCAAGGGTGCCGTCGGCCCCCGCGAGCGCCGTGTACGTCTTCCTCCCGCCCACCCCCCCCCTCATCCCCCTCTCTCCCTCCCACTCGCCTCCACCCTCACTCACCCGCAGGTCATTCTCCCTTCCCTTTCTGGCCCACGTCCCATCTCCCCTCCCCCCCCCCCCGCCCCCGCCCCTCCCTCTTGGCAACCATGACAACAGGTCAAGATGACCCGCATCCGCACCCGCATTGCCGAGCGCCTCAAGGAGTCCCAGACTGTGGCCGCCTCTCTGACCACCTTCAACGAGATCGACATGCTGCCGCTGACCCAGCTGCGCAACGAGTACAAGGACCTCTTCTTCGAGAAGCACGGTGTCAAGCTCGGCTTCATGTCCGCCTTCGTCAAGGCCTCCTCCATCGCCCTGCAGGACGTCCCGGAGATCAACGCCCGCATTGAGGGCGACGAGATTGTCTACAACGACCACACCGACATTTCCATCGCCGTGGCCACCCCCAAGGGTCTGGTCACCCCGGTCCTGCGCAACGTCGAGAACCAGTCCTTCTCCGACATCGAGCGCAACATTGCCGCTCTCGGCAAGAAGGCCCGCGACAACAAGATCGCCATTGAGGATATGGCCGGCGGTACCTTCACCATTTCCAACGGTGGTGTCTTCGGCTCCCTCATGGGTACTCCGATCATCAACCTCCCCCAGTCTGCCATCCTCGGTATGCACGGTGTCAAGGAGCGTGCCGTCGTTGTCAACGGTGAGGTCGTCGTCCGCCCGATGATGTACATTGCCCTGACCTACGATCACCGCCTGATCGATGGCCGCGAGGCTGTCACCTTCCTCGTCCGTGTGAAGGAGCTCCTCGAGGACCCGCGCCGCCTGCTCCTCGACCTGTAAATGCGCTCCCAGGGAACTAGCCATGGAGGGCTACGTGCCATGCCGCGCCTGGCCGCATATGCGCGTGCGTGCATGTGCGCGCTGGCGCATCTTCCCTTCGTGCTAAATTCCGAGCGAGGAGGGGGGAATATACCTGTCCTCGTCCCAGTATCGCCTCCCGCGCGCGTGTCTCTCCCCTGGGCGGCGTGTGACTTACGCGCATGTGTGTCTGTGCGTGTGCGTGTGTCCACCCTCTTCGTGTGTCGGGGTCTCCCATCCTCTCCGGGGGGGGGACGGCCCCCTATCGACATGCGGATCGTCGACGCGCACGCATCGCATGTGCGTGTAAATGGGTGCGAACATCTGTACCCCCCCCCCCATGCCGTGTCGTCGCATGCACAGGCGAGACTCGCCCACAATGCCATCCTTCTCCCTTCCACCCAGCCGAATATAAAACCATACTCTCAAATGACAAGAGAGGTGCCATGCTCTTCCTCCTGGCCATAGACCAGCAGGGAGACGGATTGTATCGGGATTGTCAGGAAGCAGCAGCGTACAGGCTCCACAAGTTCACCCACGGAGGTGGCGGCGGGGAGGGGGATGATCAAGGTTCGCGGCGAGCAAGGGAACAGCAGGAGGCCTGGGATTTTCCAATCGAACGAAGAGGTCTAGCATACGCATCTTTCTTTTCAGAACCGCGCGAAGCAGAATCACGCCCATCGGCTAACCACGCGCTCTTTATCTTAACCCCGAGCCCATCGACCTATTGGTTTTAGGTAAGGGCCTTCAGTCGGGAGTTGGGCTAGGACACGGCGGCACGCCCTCATCTTCGTCTGGGGCCTTCACTTCCCACACCTTTCCCCGTGCCCCGCTCCTGTGCTGCACCTTCCGGGCTCCGGGGTGCAGGCAGTTTCCGGCCTACCGCAAGCAAGGGCGAGGCAGGGGCAGTGTTCTTCTTTCGCCCCGGCTCTCTTGCCAGCCACCAGCCTTCCGCCGACCCGGGCGGTCCGAAAGCCCGGGGGGGGGGTAGGGTTGACACGTTCCTGCCCGAGGTCGCCGAGTGCCTGTGGGAAGGAAGGTCGGGCGGTCAAGTGGCAGCTCGAGAAAGGTGCAGCCGCTGTGATGCCCGTCTTTTTATGAGGGCCCTCTACCGCCCTGCCCCCGCGCCCCCGCGCCCCCCGCCCCCGTCCCCCGCCTCCCGGAAACATCCTGCCGCCCTGGCGGCCCGGCGAGCCGCCGACGCAGAAGGACACAGATACCTGATCGGCTCGGTGTGCGCGGCCCTCCCCGTGCATGGGCACTCCTTGTCTCGGTGACTATTGATGCATCCCCAATGGTCCCTCCTTGATTTCACCCCCAGACCAGACTCGCGAGCAGGCGCCCCGAGAAGAACCGCGTGCCGGGGCCGGGGCTGGGGAATGAAGCGCAATTTCGCTCCCCACCCCTCTCACGCCTGCCAGCCTTCGGGCGTCTCGCACCATCGACAGGTGGTCAGGCCTAGACGCCTCACGCATCCGAGGGGAGGGGCGCGAGGAACGGGAGCATATGTAAGAAAAGTACCCACGCCCGGTCCCTCCGCCCCTCCCGGCCTGCCAGGTGCCGGGCTCAACGGACGGACATTTCTGGCGCCCAATATCCTAGTCAGGTGCCTCTGGGCCTCGGCGGGGGTGGCCGGGCGAGAGGGGCGCTTGGCCCCGGCGCGCCCCAGAGGGGGCGTGTGTTGCAGGGCTCCTTTTGTCTCCCTGCCTGGGGGCACCGACAACCAGGGGTGAGAGCGCGGGGGGGCGGGGGGGCGGGGGGGGGGGGCGAGGGGGGAAATGACCTTCCGGGAGACAGCCGCTCCTCCCGCCGGATGGGCAGACTCAAGTGCTGCGACGCCCAATTCCCGGAGGGCCCGGCGCCCGCCGGGGGCCCAACAGAGCCTGCAGAACGATTGATCCCCCCCCCGCTTCGCCGTTTCGCTCGCCCGTAGTCACCATGCTGTCTACCGCCACCCGCCTCGCCTCGCGCAACCTCCTCTCCAAGCCTCTGGCTGTATGTGCTGCTTTCGCTGCCTACTCTCCCTCCTCCCCCCCCCCCCCCGGCCGCGCCTGGACTTGGCCCAAAGTGCCTTCTCCCTTGCCACTGACACACGTCTCCTCTTCTCGCCCACTGCTGCCGCCTGCATGTAGTCTCTCGCCCCCCGTGCTGGTCTCGCTACCGCCGCCAGCAACGACGAGAAGCAGATCAAGGTCGAGTTCCCCGTACGTCGTTACCACCCCGACCTGGGTCCTTGGATGCACGCTCTCGCGATTATGTTCCATCCGTCTGACCGCACCGCCCCCCCTCGCATCCGTCGCTCCCCCCCCCCTCCTACCGCCCCGACCGCGTCTCTGTTCGTCTGCAGGACAAGTGGGTCGTCCACAAGCTTGATGAGACCCAGCAGCCCCCCTCCTTCGCCTACACCAACCGCAAGGAGCTGCTGGACTACTTCTACGAGATGACCGTCGTCCGCCGCATGGAGATCGCTGCCGACACTCTCTACAAGAGTGCGCGCCCCCCTGTCAGACCCCTTTCCACCTCCCTCTCCTCCTCCCCTCCTCGCCCCTCTCCGTCCATTGACCTCTCTTCCCCCTAGGCCGCATGATTCGTGGCTTCTGCCATCTGGCCAACGGCCAGGAGGCCGTCTCCACTGGTGTTGAGGCCGCCCTGGAGAAGGAGGACTCCATCATCACCTCTTACCGTTGCCACGGCTTCGTCTACACTCGTGGTGAGCCGGTCGGCACCATTCTCGCCGAGCTCATGGGTATGTCTCCCTCCCTTCAGCTTGCCTCTTCGCAACCGATCCTACTGGCCTCTCATCTGGCCTGCGTGATGGACACATGCGCGCGCGCACACACACACACACACACACACGCACGCACGCAGCAATCTAACCTCCACTCCCTCCCGGGCACCGCCCCACTCGCCCACAGGCCGCGAGGCTGGCTGCACCAAGGGTAAGGGTGGCTCCATGCACATGTTCACCAACGAGTTCTACGGTGGTAACGGCATTGTCGGCGCCCAGGTCCCCCTCGGCGCTGGTATTGCCTTTGCCCACAAGTACAACGGCCGGAAGAACATCTGCCTGGCCGCCTATGGCGATGGTGCCGCCAACCAGGGCCAGGTGTTCGAGGCCTTCAACATTGCCAAGCTCTGGGACATCCCGGCCATCTTCGTCTGCGAGAACAACCAGTACGGCATGGGTACCTCGGCCGAGCGCTCCTCCGCCTCCACCACCTACTACACTCGTGGTGACTACGTCCCCGGCATCCGTGTCAACGGCATGGATGTCCTGCAGGTCCGCGAGGCCGTCAAGTGGGCCAAGGAGTATGTCCTCAACCACGGCCCCCTGGTCATGGAGATGATGACCTACCGCTACTTCGGCCACTCCATGTCCGACCCGGGCACCACCTACCGCTCCAAGGAGGAGGTGGAGAACATTCGCCGCAGCCGCGATCCCATTGCCTTCGTCAAGGGCCTGCTCCTTGAGAACGGCCTGGCCACTGAGGCTGAGCTGAAGGTGCGCTGCTTAGTGAGAAGGAGAGAGAGAGAGAGAGCCATGCCATGACTCCCCCTCCCCTCCCCTCCCCCTCGTGCGCACCCCTCTGTCGAGGGGGGTGCCCTGGGGTGGAATAGTTGAACGAGGCCGCTGGGCTTTTTGTTTGCTTTTCCGCCGCTGCTCCAGATGTACTAACCACACACGCACACACACACACACACACCCTTCCTATTCCCCCCATCCCCCCCTTGTCCTTGATCCTACGCCCCTTCTCCCGTTTGCCTCTGCAGGAGCTCGACAACAAGGCTCGTGATGAGGTTGAGGCTGGTGTTGCCTTTGCCAAGGCCTCCCCCGAGACCCCGCCCGAGCACCTCTTCACCGACGTCTACATCAAGGGCCACGAGGTCCCCTACCTGCGTGGTCGCCACACCAGCGAGACCCACTACTTCCAGAAGTAAGGTGGTCAAGCTGCGGCCTGGCTCTGCGTGCCTGCGCCCCGCCCGGGGTGCGTGCGAGGCGAGGCGAGAGGGGCGTGGGGCGCGTGCTCGCGAGTGGCCACGCTCCCCCTCCCCCGATAATGCCCTCTTTTACCTGTCCCTCTTGATGAACCCCACCTCCTCCTCTTGCCCCCCGTGTATGCGCGCGCCCTGTCTTCAAATGTGCAAAAAAAAATCCTGCCCACACACTTCTCCTCGCCCCACAAATAAAGGATACCCATCCGCGTCAAAACTGCCGTGTCGCCTTCTCACCTGCACCCACTCTTGCACGCTACCAAATCGACGCATGCGATATCCCACATCCCAGAGATCAGGCAGAAGCATAAAGCGAAAGTCTATTTGTATGTCTGGTGGGGAGGGGAGGAGGGATCGCCCTGCGGCCAAGTGCGCCAGCGCAGTCTCCTATGGAGGGGGAGGGAGCGATAGAAAGGCAAACATAGAGGGGGGCGGAGCGCGAAGGAGCAAGGGAGAGAGAGAGAGAGAGAGAGAGAGAGAGAGAGAGAGAGAGAGAGAGAGGGGGACAGAGGGGGAGGGGGATATGTTCACACGCATGGATGCCTGTTGGACATGGGGCCCCACTCCGCTTCCTCAACCAAACACTCCCCTCACAAGATGTACAGTCGGTTGCGATAGTGCACCTGGTCAACACCCATCATGGAGGCAGTGCGGTAGGGGTCCTCAACAGACCGAGCCAGCGCCTCCTCCGGGTTCTCCGGGTTGATCAGGGGGCGAGGGTCGTTGCGCAGGGAGGACGTGCTGATCGACGACTCCTCCGGAAGAAGGGACGCCACCAGGGGCTGGTAAATGACACCGGCGATGACGGCGCGGAGGGCGCCGGTGCGCAGAGCCCGGCCAGCCGTCACGCCCGGCTGCCGCAGAGCCGACGCCATGATCAGGAAGAGCCCAGCGAAGCCACCCATGATGGCCATTCGGGTGTTCTGCACCAGGGCCCGGGTGCTCAGACCGATCGGCAGGTCACAGGTATCGCAGTTGGCCTGCGCCTGCGAGGCCACTGTGACCGTACCCTTCTTGAGCAGGTCCGAAGCCTTGACATACACCGGCAGGCCGCCATCCTGCCAGGCCTCCTTGCGGGTCTTAATGGTAGCGTAGGCCACCGACGCAAAGAGGATGGAACCATGAATGCCGAGGCTCCGGGGCTGAGGGCGGACCTGTGGGCGTGTAAGAGGGTTAGGGAGTGACAAGTGGATGGGCTGGTTGGAGTGGAAAGAAGGAAGGGGAGAGGGAGCAGGGGCAAACGCACATTGGCAAAGAGGCGGCTGTTGAAGAAGAAGTATGCCAGGCGGTGCGAGAGCAGGGGAATGGTGAGGATCTCGCCAGTAGTCTGCAAATGGCGAGGAAGGTCAGATGGATGACAAGGCCCAAAGGGAAGGGGAGATACACGGTTAGACGGAAAGGGAGGAAGAGAGAGAGGGAGAGAGGGAGGGAGTGTGTGTGTGTGTGTGTGAGAGAGAGAGAGAGAGAGAGAGAGAGTATGTGAAGCACGACGGAGGGAGCACACGTACAAGGTAGCCCTTGTTTTGGGTGCTGGCATTCAGGTCAAAGAAGCCGCGGCCGAAATTCGAGGACTTCGGGACGCCATCGAATCTCGGGTGGTCGGCCTCGTAGGCATGCACACGCTTGATCAGGTTCCGGTAAGCGAGAAACCCACTGTAGGCCAAGGGGAGGACAAACGGCCCGGACATCGAGGCAGCCACAGCCAACAGCAGTGGCGAGGTGAAATTCGTGTGGAAAGACTCCCGCAAGTACCAGGGAAGGGTGAGACCAGTGGAGGTGTTGACCATGGACCGCTGAACCCAGAAGTAGTGCCAGAGGGTGGCATTGTTCGGGGCCAGAGGCTTGGCCAGACCATTGGCATCGACGGCGAAGTTGCTGGCCGTGGCGGGCGTGTAGACGTCCTCCCCGCGCAGGTATCGATCATGGGTGTCCAGCAGGCGGCGCACACGCGGCACATCGGCCGAGGAGGTGCCCAGAAGGTTGAACATGGAGAAGCTGGCGTTCCAGATAAAGCGCGCGCGGATGGTATCCCACCCGACGTACGAGGGATTTGGGTACTCGGCCATCGCCGGTGCCTTGATGGGGAGGATGGACTGGCGGGGGGTGGCCGTCGGCGCGGCATTGGCGGCCGGCGCGGCGTCGGGGATCGCGGGGAGCATGAGAGGAATGGGAGGAATGGGGCAACGAAGAGGGGAGGAAGTGAGGAGAGGGGGGGGGAGGGGGGACGAGGGAGGGGCTAGAAGAGGGGTGATGGGGGGAAGGAGAGATGTACGGGCATGTCGAGCTCGAGGGCGGGGGGGACATTCAAAGGATAGCCTGAAAAAAGCCCCCGGATTCCCCGCCAGTGTGCGGTATTTTTCCCCCTCCCCCTCTCCCCTGCAGTGGTGCCCACGGCCGCGGGGCTCTTCCTGTTCTTCTCACCCAAGTCGGAAGGGGAGACTGGTCTGTCAGTGTCCTCCCGTGAGGGGCTGGTCTGTTGGGAATGGGTGGCTGTTGCGCTGCTGCGGACATGTTTTTTTTCCGCGCAATAAAATGGAAAAGACCCCAGCAGACAGCCGCATGCTGGGCGAGGTGCAAGGGCAGGGGGTCGATCGGGCTGGCTTCGAACGCACCTGGCTCGCTCCCCCCCCCCCTCCCCCTCTGCCCCCCAGGTCCCTCCGGAGGCCCAACGTGGGGAGAGTGGGCATATGTAACTCACTCGCTGCCTGGCCCGAGGAGAGCCGCATCGTCCTCCGCCTGCCCCCTCCTTCGAGGAGTTTCCCCCTGATCGAAGCATTGAAGGAGGGGGTGGCCAGTCCTCCGCCCCTCCTTGCACTCGGGAACAACCCAAAACCGCTTCTGGCCTCCCGCCCCCCACCGAGGACAACCAGATCATTCGAACACACCAGCCCGTAGTCCGGTGTTGCGACACTGTCGGCACCACACGTTGGACTGGTTCGCATCCTGCTCGCTGGCTTGCTCGGCGCGCCTCGGCCGGCCTTCACAGCAACCCAGGAGAACCGCGTCGCACCTGGGAGGGGGAGTACCGAGCCGGGTGGAACGTGTTCATTTAAAAAAAACACGCGACATTGTCACGGGTACGGCGGGAGGGAGCTGCTTGTCAGAAGGTCTTGCCAATATGTTTGATGTGTTTTATTTTAGGGTTTTCCCAAGGTACAATGGCCGGAAATCTTCTCCCCCAAGTAGGTACCACCGGATTAGCAGCTCCCGGCTTCGGGACCCCGGCGATGTGCGCGAAGGGTAGCCCCACTGATGTGGGTACCACAGTTTGGGAGGCGCTGCCCGCCCAGGGGGGGGGGGAATCCGTCGGTTCCGTGCATCGCCCGCGCGTTCCACATCGGCGCGGAGCCATCTCCACGGCAGCGCCCACTCGACAGACGAGACCTGCTGCGCCTGCCCTTGCGGGCCGACCAGGCGGTTCTTGTGATGTTGTTCCTTGCTGCGTCCCCTCCTCTCGGTGTCAGGGTGCGCCCCTGCCCCTGGCCCCGCCCCCTCCCTGCGATCTGTTCACGGTCGACTGGGTTTCCCCAAGAAAAGACCGGGCCCAGGCAACGGGGCGGAGTCTCACCCTCGCGCTGTATGTCGCCATGTTCCTGGTCCCCTTTGCTGAAATGACTGACGAGAGTGGCTCTATGGGAGCCGGTAGCGCGTGGCGTCTGGCGAAGGCGGGCAGGTGCCCTCCCCCTTCTTCCCCTGGAGCCAGCCAAGCGCTGGGACATGGCGAGGGGAGGCAGGTGCCGGGGCATCTCCCAGCCTCCGTCTGCCCAACCACTCGCATACGTGTGTGTGCGTGTGTGTCATCTTCTCCCGTCCGTCGTGCGGGGGGGGAGAGCAGCGGGGGCGGGGCCTTCCCCCCTCTCTCCCCCACGCCAGCGGCCTTCCCAGGGCCGGGAGGAACAGAGGGCCGGGGGGTGGGGGTGGGGGGGGGGGGAGAGGGACTGTGACCGCGCCCAGCCCACTCACTCCAGCCCATTTTCTGCCGAGTGCGCTTGTGTTTGGTGCGAGAGCAGTGTGCCTGACGGTTCCTGATCCGGCAGGGCTGGGGCTTTTTAGGGGCCCTTGTCGTCCACCCCCCACTAGTGGGGTGGTCTCTCTCCTTGTTGTTTTGTTTTGGTACTTTCCTCACTTACAGTCAAGGTTTTCTAAGATGGTTCGTGCCCTGCCCTATTTGCGCTCTTGTCCTTCTCTCCCCCCCTCCTCCACCGCATCGCTGTGCATCCCCTTGCATGTGCCCCTCCCCCCCCCCCGCCTCTCGTCGCCCCTCTCCGGGTCGTCCCGGCTCCTGTTCCTCCCTCCCGGTGGCCGCGCCATCCCTGCACTCTGGCCTGTCCCTCGGCGCGCCGCCGCACCTCGCTCCCTCCTTCCTCCCTCTCCTTCTCGTTGGACCGTCGCTTGCTGCCGCGCGCGCGCGCTCTTCGACCCTCCTACTCATCCGCTCATCCTGTGGATGGTCGAGATGTTCGCGGGCTTCTCTCTTCCGCTTCGCTTTGGCGGCATGCTCTCCCTCTGTCACGCACATCGGGGGAGCCACAACGTGGCCTGTTGTGTCGTTCAGGGCGGGAACCTGGCCCGACCGCGGCAGATGAGAGAGGGCCGCGCCCGCCGAGGGGCGAGTGCACAGGCCGCAGTAGGCATTGCCGCCTCTTTGTGGCAGGCGGGATCGCCGCTCGAGCGCGCGTCCTTCCCGAGGGGCGAGGCCCCAGCATTTTGATGCGCGGCGCCCGGGGGCAGGTCGGAGGCCGTGTTGTCGGATGCATTCGGCTCGGATCCGCATCCGATCCCCGCGTCACGGCGGCTTTCCTCTGTCTCCTCCTTTTTATCCCTCCAAGGAGGGGTCCCTGCCTCTCTCCCCCTCTTTCTCCCGCCGCCAGCCAATTCTGACCCCCCCATCTCCGTTCACAGTCCAAGCGTACTAAGAAGGCCGGTATCGTCGGTAAGTACGGCGCCCGTTACGGTGCTTCCATCCGTAAGATGATCAAGAAGCAGGAGGTCACTCAGCACGCTAAGTACACTTGCTCTTTCTGCGGTAAGGACACCGTCTCCCGCTCTTGCGTCGGTATCTGGAAGTGCTCCGCCTGCCGCAAGGTGATCGCCGGTGGTGCCTACACCGTCGCGTACGTCCGGCGCTTTTGCTCTCCCGCTCGCTCGACCTGGGGCTTGTCTCTCTTCCCGGGGAGGGGAACCTACGCTCGTTTGCATCCCGCCTTCTGCCCTGGCGCGCGCGCGCGCTCTCTCTCTCTCTCTCCCTCTCTCCTTCTCGCTAACACCTCCCCTCTCTCCGCGAACACACGCTCCCCGTCCCCCCAACCACAGCACCCCTGCTGCCTCCACCGTCCGCAGCTCCATCCGCCGTATTCGTGAGCTCCAGCAGTAAGAGTGTGTGGTTCCTCCCCTCCCGGGAGAGAGACGCCCTCTTTCTTGTTCCTTGTTAACGCTGATTCACAGAAGCCCGATGTGTCTGTGCTCTCCGGCGCACGCGGGGAAGCCTTCGATCTATTTTCGGATACTTTGTTCGCCCTCAAAATAGACTCACGGGCCCTCACAGGTCAACTCTACAGTTCCGCCGCTTTCTCTTGCTGTGCCCCACCCACTCGGTCCTCTCTCCTCCTGGCGCCTTCGCCATGCCCTTTTCCCTCTCTCCCTTTCTCTCTCTCTCTCTCTCTCTCTCCCTCTCCCTCGGCCGCTGAGGTGTGTCAGCAGCAGGGGCGAATGGGCGCAGAGGCATTCGCCTTTCTTTCTTCAGCCTCCGCGCGTATATGTCACACCTCTTCCCGTGTGCCCCGTGTGTGCGGTGTGTGAGGCCAGTTTGCTGTGGGGCACCCCCTTCCTCCGAGCAGGCACAGGCCCGGAGGAAAGTGAGTCAAACGTGTCGGGGCGCGGCTCCACGCGGATAGCCGAGAGGGGGGGGGGGATACAAAGGGCGCGCTTACCCAGGCGAAGGTCGAGCCCTCGTCCACCTCCTCGTCCTTTCCTCTCCAGCTGCACATTCGCCTCTCCGCCGCCAAGTACGTCAAGCCGGCCGGGCAGGGCAGCTTGGTTGTCCCCTGGCGCGTGTGTGTGTGTGTGTGTGTGCGCGAGGGAAGAGCTGACAGGAGATCGCGGTGTGCGCTCTTCCCGACGAAAGACGATCCCTTGTTGGCGCCCGCATCCCCAACGGGACTTCCTGCGGGGCGGATCTGGGCCCTTGGCCCCCGGCGCAGGCGTGCTGGCCCTCTTCTACGCACATGTGTCTTGCTCTGGAGTTGTGGTGTGCATAATTGATGCCGTGAATGCTTCTCGGCGCAGATAGGGCGGCCGATCGCAGCTTGGTTATGGTCCCTACTTCGGGAGCGTGAGCGACCGATCATTTCCCCGCCCCCGCCCCCCTCCTGCCCTCCCCTCCAATCGAAAACTGCATGCGATGGACATGATTCTCCATGCGAAATGAGACAATCTGGTGATCGAGAACACAGCAAGTTCTGAACAGATACTACATATGCGTTTCCATTCCGAAGAAGTGGAGTGGAGTCCCCTGGGGAGGTGGCATCTCGCGACATGATGCATCTGCCAATTGAGCGGTTCCAGTCCTTGTCGTGAGTGACTGGCAGGGGGGGGGGGGTTCCGATCGGGCGTGGCGGGGGAGAGCGGGGCGCCCGAGTCGTTCGCTGTGGAGATCGTCCGCCTGCGGTCTCTCAGCTCGAAGGGCTGCGAGCCAACCAAAGCACCGGATCCCCATGCGCAAACACGGGCGCAAGCATATGTCACCCCCGAGAGGCGTCCCCAGCAGTTTCTGAATCTCTCCCGGCACCAGGCGTGGTCCCGGGTGCCCGGCGATGTCCCACACGCGAGGGCCGCACTGTCCGCCATCGCTGGAGGTGCTGCTGCCACAGGCGATCCATGTCCACCGGATCACCGGCGTCAGTTGTTTCATCCACAGGGGTGGATTCGTCTGCCTCCTCCTTGGCGCAGGCTGGCGGTTGGTATGGGAGATCTAATTCTCGCGGGAATTGGCCGGTCGCCGCTTCCAGGGTGGCAAGGCGCGCTTTGCGAGCAGCCAGACCGGCCAGAGAAAGGCGCTCCCCGATCAAGGCACCTGGAGCATCGTCCGCACCGGCCCCACCGGCATCCGGGGCTGATCCCTTCCGTTTGGCCCCCGACAAGTGTGCATGCTGATTCGAGGGAGGCATGGGAGTTGTATGAAGACCGGCAGCACCGAGTGGGGGCAGGGTTAGCGATGGCGACACTGATAGCCGTGGTGGCGACACACACACACACACACACACACACACACACACACACACCCGCGCGCGCGCGCGCACAAAGAGAGGCTGCTTCCATTCGCTGGGCACTTACCTTCTGTGATCCCCCAGCCGAGCTAGCCAGTGGTGAGGAAAGGTGCGTTACACAGGGCGAGACCACCCAACTGCCGATCCAGCTGTGCAGGTCCAAGTTTGGATCACCATGGACCAGCATAGAGGGATCACTGTCAGCCAGGCCGCCGGCCAAAAGTCGCTCGCGGAGATTCCACAGGTGTCCAGATGGCAGAGGATCGGCACCCAAGCCCAAATTGGCATCCCCTGCCCGCCGGGGCAAGATTCCATCACCAACCAGGCGCGTCACCATGCGCGAGAGGCCAATGTACCAAGCGGCATCAAGGCTATCCTCGGCCTGGCTGGCAACTGGCGAGTGCGAGGGACAATCGTTAGGTGGGCGAAGATCCCTTTTTCTTTTTTCACTCTCCTCCCTCCGTGTATCCGCCTGCATGGGGCCTCGGGTAGGGATCGAAGGTCTAGCAGGAGAGGGGGGGGGGGAGGGGGAGGGAACGTACTGGCGGCAGCGCGAATGAGCGTCAGCGGGTCGATCGGATCTCGGGTGTACATTGGAGTCGGGGCAGTTGCTCCGTCGGCCGTTGGTTCCGGACGCAGGCGCTCTGAAGCTGCATCCAGCTGCCTATCAAATTGCTTGCGCGAGGCCGACCTCAATGAGTGGAAATCCTCCTCGCCAATGCTCGACTGGGAGGACGTCTGGGAAGATGGCTGGGAAGATGGCTGGGATGATGGATGCTGCTGTTGCTGTTGCTGCTGCTGCTGCTGCTGCTGCTGCTGTTGCTGTTGCTGATATTGCAACAGGCGCGACTCCCGCGACAGGTGCTCGCGCAAATCCAACCCCGGGCTGGCCAGCAACGACCATAGGTCTTCATCTAAGTCCGGCCGGCGGACATATGACGCCGGAACATACTCGACCTGGCTCTCAGGAAGCGACACTCGCGGGCGCTTTAGCCGGCTGGGGGTGGCATCGGACAAGACGATCGGGTGTGACAGGCTGGCCGGGGTGTCGTCCACTAGCCGGCGGAGAAATTGCCCAAAACTGCTTGAGGGGTTTGTCAGTCAGCGCTGGATGGGAATTAAGGGGGGGGGGGGAAAGTCGCGAGGTCCACAGCGTACACAGATGCGCCGTTGTCCAATTGGCCGATGTCAACAGGTGTCGCGGCCACCAGGGGATCGGTCGCCAGCGAGGGCGAGGGGCTTGGAGAGCGGTCGGCTTTGATGGTGCGCGGCCTGCGTGGCCGTTTGGCTGGTGTCGCCTGGCGACCAGTGCCGGGCGAGGGGGCCTGTGGCGGGGGCCCTTGGCGGGTGCGTGTCTTGGCCGGCGGGCCGTCCGACCGATCCGGTTGCTGAGGCATGGTCGGTAGGGATATGGACGTATGACTGGCGGTGGGGTGATATGAAGGGTGTTGGAGGAAATGCCGATGGGCGGAGCGGGTGATGGGGAGGGGGGGTGGGGAGGGGGGGAGGGCGAGGGCTGCCCTCAAAACCAAGTCGCCTTCTCTGGGTCCGGGTCTCTTGTTGCTGGACACAGGAGGGAAGAGTAGATCCCGGATTGCCCTTCTGTGGTCAGAAGCGGGGCCTGGTTGGCGATCTTGCGGGGCCCGTGTGTTAAGCTCTCCCCCCTCCCCAACCCCCCCCCCCCCCGGCTTCCGGGGGATACTCCACGTCGACAGTTATTCCACGCCGGACAAGGGGACAAGAACGCATTTCAAATCGGTTCCCACTCGGGGGACATCCTGACACGTCCGCGGCCAGAGTTAACTGTGATTCATCCACGAAGTTAAACCATATGATCATCACACCATGGGGTGTGGTCAAATGGGAATCGCGGTGGGTCGAGGCGCAGACGAGGCTCCGGCGAGGGCTATCCACAGATGAACAGCCCTCGAGGCTCGAAGCCGCCCCGCCTCACCCTCCCCCAGGTCTGGGCGAGAGGGGCCGAGGAGGACCCTTTCTAAGGGCAGGGTCATTTCTTCGTCTCGTCCTGAGAGGCAGAAGAGCCCCAGGGCGCTGTGGTCTGGTATGGGGGGGGGGGGCGGCGTGGTTTGTTCGGCGGCAGGATCCTCTCGTGTGGGCCCGGACGGGGTGGTCTGCCTCAAGCGGGCAATTTGCCCCCCCCCCCCCCCCCCCCCTCCTCCGTCCCCCTCCCCATGGAACCCCCTGGCATGATGTTCTGCCGGGGGGCATGAGTCTGTTTTTCCGGCTCGCGTCTCTCATTTTCTCCGCTGGCCCCACCCTCATCCGTTCTCTGCACACTCGGCCACCGGAGAACATGTGCCCCGGATATCACCGTGCCGATTGGTGGCCAATCCGCCTTGTATCTTGGTTTCCGGTCGGCCTCCTGGGCTGAGGCCGACTCCGACAAGGCCTTTTCTAGGGCATGGGGATCAGGAGAAAACACCACCGCGAGGCCCGGATCCCGCTGGCACCCCACGCATGGCCAGAGTCCTCCCCTCCCTCCCCTCTCTCCTCTCACTCTCCCCCCCCCCCTTCCCCCTCCCCCCTTCGCCAACATGCTTTCTGCCACCACCACCTCCCTGCGCGGTTCGGTGCTCCGTATGCGCCCGGCCATGATGGTCACTCGCATGATGTCCTACAACAGCATGGACCACGGCTCTCACGAGCAGAACTCTCACGAGCAGAACTCTCACGAGCAGGACTCTCACGAGCAGGGCTCTCACGGCCAGGGCTTTGACCATTCGGTTGGCCAGGCTCAGGAGCAGGGCCCCGTCGGTGGCCATGAGCAGATCACTGCCCAGTCTCTCGGCATCCCGCACCTTGGCGGTTCCAGTACGTCCTTCCTCCCTCTCTCTCTCTTTCTCTCTCTCTCTCTCTCTCTTTCTCTCTCTCTCTCTCTCTTTCTCTCTCTCTCTCTCTCTCTCTTTCTCTCTCTCTCTCTCTCTCTCTCTTCTCTCTCTTTCTCTCTCTCTTTCTCTCTCTCTCTCTCTCTCTTTCTCTCTCTCTCTCTCTCTCTC